CCATACGAATTAAGCAATTCAATGGACTCCAATCTCTCATCCCAAGATTACGCAACCCTAGAAATAAACCTAGAATTAAGCAATTCAAGTTTAGAATATCATTAAAAGGAATTAGGGTTAATTAAGCAATGTTCCCCTCATTCAACCATTAATTCAATTCAAGAGATTAGGAAGAAGCAATTCATGAAAGGAAAGAAATTATATTAACATTCAAAACCTAGGAATTCAAGAATCCATATGAACTCACTAGGGATTACAAGAAAATTTAGCCGTCCATGAGAATGGGTCTTACCATTACAAGATGAAAATAAAGAGAAATCAATAACATCAAGATGAAAATCAAAGAAAAGTGAAGAAGAAATGGAATTCAAACCCTATGTTGAACCCTTGGCTATCACCTAAGGCCCACCTAGGCTCTCCAAGTATCCCCAATGTAATGCCTTGGGTTGTATGTATTAAGAATGATAAGACTTGAGTGTAATGCTTGCCATGAATGAATGTGTTTATCTTGTCTTATTGCATTGATTGTTGAATTGTAACTGAATGTGCTATGTGTTGAGCTGATGTGGATATATGTATGAATATATATATTGGTTAGTAGCTGAGGTTGAGATGAGATGAATAGCATAAGTTCTGGTGCAGGGCTTTCTCGCTGCAACGAGGGGATTCTAGCTGTAGCGAGAGAAGTCTAGCCGTAGCGAGAGAGCGACAATCTGGGCTGCATTTCTGGGTGCAGTCTCGCTGTAGCGAAAGGGTCTCGCTGTAGCGAGATTCTGCAGAAAACCAGAGTGCAGTTTCTTCTAAGTTTTCGCTGTGGCGAGAGGGCGTGTCGCTGCAGTGAGGTTTGTCGCTGTAGCGAGAGCGTCGCGTTTCAGACTGTATTTAAGGGTTCTTGGAGAGCTGCGCGAGGGTATTTTCAAAACCCTCGACCCCTCTCTTCTTCCCTTCGCCTTTTTGGTTGATTTCCTCCCCAAATCACTAGAAAACCCTAACCTCTTGTGCGATTCTAGGCCTAGAAGAGTGATTGGAGCCATTTTGGGTAAGTTCTATGGTTTCCTTTTTGGGATTTCTTGAATTTCTCCAATCCCCATTCGATTTTCTGAGCTTGGCTGCGTTTGTAGGGAAGTACTTGCAGATTCTAAGCTTGAATAACCAAGAACACCTCGAAAAACACCGGATTGAGGTAAGGGGAGCTTGCCCTAGGTCATTTTGGTGATTTGAGAGTGATGAAAGGTGTTGAGAGAGAGTTAGAGCTACGTTTTTGGAATGAAATTGTTGTGTTGATGTGGTTGCTTGCTGTTGAACCCTAGGAGGAGTAATTTGATAGCCGAATGATAGAGTATTGTGGTTGTATGCTATGAAAAACCTTAGGAAGGATGACCCAATATGCTAAATATGACGTGTAGTAAATTGCTGGGCTGTTTGCTAAGTTAATAATGTTGTACTTGCTGAGAATTACTGAAAATAGCTGAGCTGTTATATGATTCTTGCTGAAATTATTAATATGCTGATTGCTGCATCATTCTAGAGCTGAATAAGGCTGTCATGATAGGCGCTGTGTCACATGCTAGGTGGGTAGTCATGTGGCTTTAGAAAGCTGAGCTGTACTATCTGGCTCCAGATACCGGAACGGGTCGCTCCCAGACCGGCACAGTTCCTCTGGACCTGCTGAATGTGCTGTTAAAGGCCAGATGGACACTGTTTCTCATTTCTGCATGAGCATGAGCTGGGCTGGGCTGTAATTGCTGTTTCTTGCTGATTTGTTGCAATTATTTTAATTGATATGCCGTTTCTTTTTGTAAGCTCACCCTTGCAATTGTTGTTGTTGTGATGTTATGCTGCGATGACCGTACTTGGTACGTGAGCAGATCAGGCAGGTGAGGCTTCGGCTTCCTAGGATGACCGGAGTAGCTGATGGAGAAGCGGAGGATTAGGCATTATGATACATTAGGATTTTCTCATGTATTAATCTTTTGCTATAACCAATATTTGTAGTGACAACTAAGTCATATTTTGTAATACATATATGGTTTAAGGATGATTTTCAACTAATGCATATTGATTTCTTTCGATGATTGTTCATGAGTATCCAATTAGGGTGATTTACTGTGTTTTTGCTGAGATTTAACAGGTTATGTTTATGACCCTGCCTTGGGGTCGTGACACCCAAAGTGGCAAAAGAATCTAAAGTTATGAAAAAACTCCGTACCCTAATTTCTCAAATCTTATTTATAGTGTCGAAATTTTTCGCCCAACGTAACTACTATGGTTTCATAGTGATGACGCGCAGCGCTCCATAGTGGTTACTCTCGTTCCATAGTAACCACGCGCAAGTCTAGTGCTTTTGGCCTCTCTAGAGTTGTCACTATGGGTTCATAGTGATCACTTTGGTCTGCCCTTCTGGATCTAGCTTGCTATAGTGTTCACTATGGACTTCAAAGTGATCACGTTCATCTTACACTTTCTCAAATGCTAAAAATCCATGAAAAAAGTCTAGAACCTCCTGCACAATTATTCAAATGATCAAAATTGTAAACTATATCTATGCAAATCAATGGAAATTAACCAAAAATTATGAAACCTATGATAAATTGAACAAAATGATGTTTTTATGTTATTTACAATTCCTAAGTTTACTTTTTCTATTAAGAACCATCAAAATGATAAGTAAAAATCTAATAAAATGTGGATTTATCACAACCTCAAACTTAAGCTTTTGCTTGTCCTCAAGCAAATCAAAATTCAATAAAGTCACTTGTAAGAGGGTTGGATTTATCCAAAATTTTCATTCCAATAAAGTGACTAAAGAGCATGACGACCATAGCACAATGCAAAATAGTGGGGTCACTCTTGTTGCTGAATCGTTACATATCTCCAGTGCAAAGGATAGAAATCCAATATATACGGATATGTCATACTTTGGAGTCATTGAACACATTTGGGAGTTGGATTACACAAAGTTTCGTGTAGCAATGTTTGGATGCAAGTGGGTGGACAACAGTGGTGTTCGAATTGACGATATGGCCTTTATAAGGGTCGATTTTAAAAAGGTCGATTACCAAGATGATTCGTTCATCCTTGCATCACAGGCTCGACAAGTGTTCTACATCTCAGATTCGGTTGACAAGTCATGGTCAATTGTCTTAATGTCCAATAAAGTAAATGCTTTCACCGATAGAGAATTAATGGAAGAAGAAGTTAATGTGGAGGACGATCATTTGAGAAGTGTTGAACACATTTCAATTATAGAAGGATTAATAGATGACGAGGATTTTTATGCAAGACATGATCATGAAGAGGGTATTTGGTTAAATCCATCATATCATTCAATAAAAGGTCATAGGAAACCTAGTAAGGCTCCTAAAAAAAGAAAAAGATGCATCTATTACTTATATTTGAATTAAATATAATTTGATTTTATGATTTCACTTTATCCCTGAATGAAATGTAATTATTGTTAACCTTTATATTTTTTCTTACAGAGATGACTTCTTTAGATAACATGGATGGAAGTCCCCCTCGTATATCCACGGAGGCGAAAAAGAAAAAGGGTCGAGGAATTACCAAATTGAAGTCCATTAGCAAATTAAGAAAATCTGGACAAAAGCTACAGGTAAATTGCCACAATCAATCAAATCTATTGATATTCAAAGATCTATTATGTTAATATTAACATTTGTAAGTCTCATAATTTATATTTGCATATAAATTGGCTGGAATGCAAAAGGTCAACCAATTGACCCTAATAGATCAAAATTTTCACATTTTATTGGATTTGTTACTAGGAGTACAGTGCCAATCAGTTTTAATGATTGGACAAATGTCCCTAGTAATGTTAAAGAACACATTTGGGAGCAAGTTGAGGCACACAAGCACACTTTCAGAAATGACAAGTCATGGGATAGGGTTTGAACACATTCTGATATGTTTTTTTGTTTCAAATGTAGCAAACTTTTGAGGTGGAATCTATTCACAAAGACTTTGTTCTTTCATTAGTTTGATGGGATCTTCGTGCATTCTGCACACGGATGAGGAAATATATTTTCGACAAAGATAGAAATTGTGTCCCCCATCCTCCGAAGAAGTATCAGGGATTCATCACAGTTACCGATCACTGGATGGACTTTGTCAACCAAAGTTGCACAGGAACTTTTAAGGTAAATTGTCGCAAATTATTACTTCAAATTACTGTCACATTTACAATTAGTTATTGATTGGGTATGTTTCTGAATGCGTAATTTCAGAAAGAAAGTGAAGCTAATGCTAAAAGGGTGAAAGGAATGTCTTACAAATACAGGAGGTCAGCTAAGGGATATGCTTAGTTAGAGCAAGATTTGGTATGTATATTTGTGTCTAATGTACTCCATTCATGCTTTTTCATAACCTTATGTTAAACCTTTAACAAATGGCATTTAATCTGAAATTTTACATAGATTGCTACATTTGGGTCTAATTTGACCTCTGTACCTCGACATGTCCTCTGGAAAGCTACTAGGGTGAACAAACAAGGTGCCATTGATGATGAAGGAGTTCAAAAAATGGTCCATCAATTTGTAAGTACTTAGGTCTAATGTGTTAATACTTTCAAATACAAAAACTTATAGGTGAATTCTCCTTTAATGACCAACGATATTTTGTTATGTTTATTGTACGAAACCCTTTCATAGGTCACTGCAGACGCTGAGACTGAATCAACAGCCTGAAATGACATACTCTCTCAAGCACTTGGTGTAAGAAAGCATCCAGGTCGTGTGAGGGCTGTAGGTTATGGGGTGACCCAAAAAGATGCATTTGGGCCAGCAGCATCATGTCCACATCCATCATCAATCGAGTGAAAAAATATGAAGCATTGGGTGGCGCATTTAACCAATGTAGTGACACAGTTGATAGGGAGTCAGGGACTGCTCCCCTTCATGTTAGGTCAGATGTCGTTCAACCCTGCTCACTCCCCACCACCATGTATACCACCCCCTTTCAATATTGCTCCCCAGATCTAACTAATGGCGGACATTCGTCCCCAAACGCCTGTAGATGCACCTTCATCCAGCCATAGAGGCAGTTGCACACCAATTGCATCTGTTGAGATTCTAGAGGTATTTAAGCTATAGTAAATCATCATTTAGTTTATCACTTTTGATTTAATTTTTGCAAAATATAACAAACTTTCATTTGTAGGGTGATCATGACTGTCTGTTGTACTTGAACTCACCTTTTTGCCTGGTTGCAAGAGGTAGAATATATCATACAGTGGCTGGGGACTCCTTACATAATATGACTCTTCCTCCAGAGTATGGTAAGGTTTCTATAGAGGTAGTGCAACAACATGAGGAGGACTCTAGACTGTCTGTCCCAAATGAACAAGCAAACCTCATTTGCTTAAGAGATGCCATTGGTACTTATGTTGCTTGGCCATTGTCTCTAATCACTTTAAGACCCAAGGTATGTATATATACAAGTTCCTTATACTTTGGAAGACTAGATGTTACAATTAAAAAATATTGTTCTTTTTCGGTTGCCTCTTCATTAGGTAAAGGGTTAGGGAAAGAGACAGACTACTCAAAAGAGTCCATTGTTGGTCCATCCAATAAAGGTAGCATTGGTTGTGTATCATCAGAGATTGTAAAGTTGGCAGAAGCCCAAGGTGCTGCATGCTTGGATATGATGAAGCTATTTGTGAGAAGTGATCAAGCCATTGATACAGCTACAATTCAACTGACAAGTGAGCACTGGGGTAAAGAGTTTTGTGATATTGTGGGGAAGGAAAACATTATAGAGGTCATACGTCGACATTGGTTGAGTGCCTCTAGCATTAACCTTTACATACGGTAAATTAAGTTTCAAATTGAAGAATTCATGGTCAATATATTCAACCTTCAATATTGTTTAATGCATTTCAATTGTACTTTTTGCAATACAAGATATTTGTGTGAAGCTTACTTGCATGGGACAATGGCAAATAGATTCTCATTTATATCTCCGTATGAAATGGACGAAGCGCTCAATCTGAACCCACATCAACATATAGGTGAAATGTTAAAGCGTCATATGGGTGAAGATCACTTGATTTTTGCACCTTATAATGTTGGGTAAGTCAATCTGATTGAGACTCTGCTTTATGTTTTATAATTTAGCATATAAATTTTAATTCTTGTAAGCTTAAACATATATTTATACACATGGTAGGTAACATTAGGTCTTGGTTGCCATCAATACTGCTGACGAGACTATGTATTATTTGGACCCTCTACACAAGCAGCTGAAGAATAGAACACAAATGCAGAACCTATTTAATAAGTAAGCATTTATTTATGTCAACCAACTATGATTAATGTTAAGTGGTTATAATGTATCTAATTTCTTTCATGCACCATTGTTAGTGCTCTTGTCACGTATCGAGCAGAGAAGGGAGTGCAGCCCTCTAGGACAAAGATGACTCAAACAAAATGGGTCACTGTACAGGTAACACTGTATCTTATTTAATGTTTATAATTTTTAGCTAAGTCTAAATTGCACTATATATCATTCATAGTTAATGCTGATTTATTTGTTTTTATCTTCCACACAGTGTCCAAAGCAAACAAATAATGATGACTGTGGATATTATGTGTGTCTATTCATTGGGGATGCTTTGCAGCATGGACAAACTGTAATCCCAGTTAATGTATGAATCTTACAGATGCTAACTGTTTGCCATATGCTTATTATTTCACTTAATTAATTAAGCTTTGTTTTTATTGTTTTGTATTCAGTATTTTCCAGAGGTGCAGATGCCAACTTTTCCTGACAACAAAATTCATCAAATGCAAAAAGAGTGGTGTGCATATATGTACCATAGATATTTAAAGGAGACATTAAGCACAATAGATTATTAGTGTTTTTTTACAATATTTAGACACTTTTGTTTCAACTCATTAGGCAAAAAGTGAATATGAGATTATTTTTCTCCTGTCAATGTAAACTCTTATTGTAATTTGTACATGTTCATTGTAATTGAATAATATAATGTGCAATAGCTTTTAAATTCTAGTATCTATGGCTCTGTTTGAATTTTATATTCTGATTGAACTGGTTCTGAATACTGTATGCTTTACAGGTATGCTAAAAATAGACATTATAACAGTTTTATTAAAATATTTAAAAAAAATTCTTAACTTTGGAGAGCGGTTCGTGTACAACCGCTCTCCAAAGTCAACTTCTAAGAGTGGTTCATTAAATAACCGCTCTCAGAATAACGATTAAGAGAGCGGTTAAAGGCGAACTACTCTCAGAAGTACACTTAAGAGAGCAGTTAAACGTGAACCGCTCTCTTAAGTGTACTTCTGAGAGCGGTTAAAGCGAACCGCTCTCTTAAGTTTGAGATAAGAAAGCGGTTAATCCACAACCGCTCTCTTTAGTCTACCTTCTGAGAGCGGTTCGTGTTTAACCGCTTTCTTAAGTTTGAGATAAGAGAGCAGTTAATCCAGAATCGCTCTCTTTAGTCTACCTTCTGAAAGCGGTTCATCCATAACCGCTCTCTAAATTGACAAATAATGGAGAGCGGTTAGGCGGTTAGGCGGTTAACCGCTCTCTTTAGTGAACTTCTAAGAGCGGTTAACCGCGAAACCACTCTCCAAAACATACATTTGAGAGCGGTTAATAATCGCTATCAAAAATTCTTGATGTTGCATAGCGCGGGATTTTATAGCACTTATAACTGCTCTCTGTGTTCAAGTGGAACCACTCTAAGATTTTATTCGGGCGTAGTGTAAAAGTGAAATCTACTTAATTCATAACTCAATATTCAATTGAATCCTACGTTTGACGTTTCAAAATTTTAAGTAAAATTTAAGTTGATCCTTGCATGTAATATTGGGTCAATTTATGAATCAAATCCATTTCCAAAAATACGCCAAACTAAATTTATATTCATTTTAAGCATCTAAATTAATTATATCCAAATTAAGAGATTTTGGTGTTGCTTGGATACACCGAATTGGAATCAGAATTATGCTCATGAGTTGCAATTGACTTTCCAATTTAAATTTTCTTGTTTGGAGTACACAAGAATGAAATTTAAATTCAACCCAATTTTAAATAATTTAAAAATAACTAATAAATTTTAAATTTTATTTAGTGCATGCTACTAGAATTGAAATGTAAAGAAAATACTGTCACAATCAGTTCAAAACACATACAAGCAAACAAAAGAACAATAAAAACCTCTTTAGCACGAGTAAACTAAGATATCCTATAATAATTAAGATCATACTCATCTTCATGTACCTAATTTCAAATCTTGCCACTAACATTTTATAATAAATCTTCAATTTGAATCAATCAACTTATTTTCTTTAAAATTAGCAAAAATAAGATAAATGATGAGTTTCAACTCCATGAATGGATCTTTCTTGATCGGAAGAAGCTACACCTATTATTTTAAGGGGTTAAATAAGAAGATTATTTTTTTAAATTACTATATTAAACTTTAACTTATAATTAGATGATTGAGAATGATTAATACTTATATAAAATGTAAAGCAGAAAAAATATATTTACAATTGTCATTTTATGAAAGTTGAGTTTAACGACATTTCATAGAATTAAATTTATCAATAATAAACTTTGTCCTAAAAATATTAACAATGTCTTTTTCAACTTAAACAACTAATTTACCTACAAGAAACTCATTATTCATTTTGTTTCAAAGTCTTATCTTAACAATTTTTATTGCTGAGAGGTGAACCATCTAACACAATCAACGGAAGCATTGAGTCTGAGTAAATTCTTCTCAATATCTTTTGATTCTTGCTTTATAATAAACCTATTAACATGTGATTTTGTCAACAAAACCTTACAAGACTGAACAATATTTTTTGGGGGAAATTAGGCTTTTTTCTAACATTATTTAAACGTTGACAATTTTCTCCACTATTTACAAAATTTCAATTATTAAAGTCTTTTCAATAAAACATTTGAACCTTGTCTATTAGAAGCTTATTTACCAAATACAGTATGGCAAACAAATATAACATCTTTTTTACAAGAATATTCTAACAAAAAAGGATATACATTTCAAACCAAGAAACTTAAAAATGATTACGAGGATCATAATTGAATAAATAATATTTTTTAAGAATAAATTGACATGGCCTATGACAACGGTTTCAGCAAGTGCACTGAATCGTACAAGTAATATAATGAAATTAAAGTATCATTCTCATAGAGATTGATGCAAACACGTATTGATTCACTAAATTGAACTAATTGAATGCAGTTAGGATTGAAAGGGACTCTAAATATAAATTGATTTAATTCACTTTGCAAGTAAATAACAATGAAATATAAAATAAGATGAGAAAATTCAATGACAAGATAGTTAGGATTAGACTTCACCCATTATTCATGTGATAAACTAAACTCCTTTACTAGTTCAAGCTCTTCTTAAGATGTTAAGAAAAGTTTTCACTAAATTAATTCATATCCAATTCCTTGGTATACAAATTCTCTTAAACTCATACACAAAGATTAATTCCTTATTTCCAAATGTATGAGTCTAAGGTTTTAGAGTACAAGGAAACCAAAAGATCACACACCCAATAATTTCTATTCCTAGAAAATTAAATGATGAGGCAAGTAAATCAAGAAGCATAACCACTCATTCCATTTTCCAATGTCAAGAAGGTTCATCAAAACAAAGCATGATTAGCTAGTTCATACCAACCATTAAAAATGGATTTACAAACTAACATCAAAAGAAGCTTAAACTAGAGTCAAGAATCTAATTACATCACAATCCCAAAATCAACCCTAACTACAAAATCTTTAGCAATCCACCACAGAAATGAAAAACACAAGAAAAGAAGGAGAGGTCCCCTTAGCCATATTCTTGAGAAGAAAATAAGTCTGGGAATCTTCTCCATTCTTTCTCTCCAAAGACCCAAGTATGGGTCTAGTCTTCTTGCCCTCAAAGAGTTGCCCCCTAATTCTCTCTCGAAAAACCCTCCTCCTTTTACAATCTGTCTCCAATCCCTTTTATCTTACACAATATGTATTCTTGTCCACGTCAGTAAGTTTGCGCCTTGGTGCAAAAAGGTCTGTGCTTTGGCGCTGAAAGTCCTGCAACTTCATCGACTAATCGTGATAAGCGCCTTAGCACACACAAGCTTGCGCTTTGACACAGGATGACCCGAAAGTACATTGTCACACTTGGGAGGCGCCTTGGCACACATAGGTCTGTGCCTTGACGCTTAATAACCTACAATCAATATCCAAACTTCAGCATTTTTCACCAAAATATTAGTAAGGTAAGAAAATTTTAAAAACTAGATTTCTAATAACTTTGGAAGAGCAAATAAAAAAAAAAAAGTAAAAAAAAAAAAGAAGATTAAAATTAACTAAAAAATACTCACTACTAGACTCTTAACAGCCTATACTTGAATATTTTCTTTTAAAAATTTGTCAATTGTTTTTACTTTACTCGTACCTATAACAAATTGACATATGAACAAATTAATAACAAATGTTGTTTGACTTATTTCTTATTTATTGTTAATTAGAAAAAGTACTTAAAAATTGTTATTCAAACAAATTTTAAACAGTAAATAATTTTATTTTTAACCTTTACTAATTAATAAGGGTGGGTGATGAGTCCACATTTTATTAGTTTTTTCCTTGTCATTTTAATGTTTCTTGAGATGTCCCTATTTTCAATAAGTATTTCTCAATGTCATCCCATTTCTTGTGATGAATAAGGAATAAATTAAAGTGTTTAATAACTACTCAATTTCAAATGTATACACATCAACATGCATATTATATTTGTGTCCTCAAACACAATATTTAGAGTACATAATATAATATTACATACCGTCTAGATTACTCTCAAAATTATTTAACTATGGAATATTACAAGGAAGGATAACAGTCTAGGATAGTATACTGTACATAATACATAGATAAACTAAACTTCTCCTCTCCTCTTGACTCCTTCCTTATTCATCCAATCCCCCTGGAGGAGGGTTGAGATCAATGCCAAAGTATGCAGCTGCACGGCAGAGAGGAAAAGGGACCTCCACTCTAGCTTCTCCCTGTATAGTAGTAGGACTAACATAGGGATTATTAACAGTAGATATAGTTAAGATAATAAAGCCTTGAAATATAATGGTCTGGTTGGAGTCATTGAAACTCCACTCTCCAGTCCCCATACTAAAGGTCATGGTACGTGCAGGAGTAATTGGTGCACCTTCATTCATTCTGCATCCATATACATTTTGGACACATCATAGAAAAAGATAGGGGTGAGTACAAATATTCATAAACAATCTAATAGACAATACTCATGTTTAAACGAACAAAACATCAATAAGACATCAACAATACCAAGCATTACACAATATGTTTGCTTAAATGAACAAAATAACATTCAAGCATTAAGCAATAATCATTTAGTATCTTTTATTTTCGAGTCCTCCATGGAGTAATTAATTTAATTATCTAACATTTTAATTTCAGGTTGAGATTGGGAGTTCTGTGTCTGCAATCCAATTAGTGTCATAGGTACATCTTCTCCCTTCACCGGAGACAGAACATAAGTGCATAATTCTCACTTTATGATCACTAGCAGCAGCCCACACTCAAACCAATCTTGGTATGCTCTAGTGCCTGTCAGGATAGGCTAGCAAAGTTCCCACTGCCTACGACATAAGTTAGCTAGACTTGGTCCCCTATAAGTCTTGGGCACTCTCCTATCCCCTATGGTAAATACCAACACTATTTTCTCCTCGCCTGTACCGTGGCGTATTCAACCTCTCTCACAATCATAAACACAAATAATATCATAGCCATTGATTGTCCAACAGGCACATTATAACATTTCTATTTTAAGAGAACAATCAATTACATGGACATGGCTAACAATCAAAATTTTTCAGATTTCATGAACTAACTTGTAAAATTCATAATTAATTCGATACGAGTCCAAACATCATGAAATCACTAAGGTTTTCTTCCTTTAAATGTCTACTGTAATATAAAATTTCAGCCAAAATACAAAAGCCTCCAAAGAATTAATCAAGTCTCAGCTTACCTCTACTGTTCTCAGATCATTTCACTAAACAGCCAGCA